AAGTCTTGGACAGACCTGGCAGTCTGGAGGACTGTGCCCTTAGCCTCAAATTTGACTAATTTGGGTAGCCTTTGTCTTTTTTTTTCTTCTTTTATGAACATGTTGCTGGATAGGGAAAACCCATCTTGTGACAAGTTGACAATTACATGCTAAGTGTATCAGGGTCTAGTCAGGGAAACAGAACCTGCTCTAGGTATTTCAAAAAGCATTTAATGCAGGGACTAAGGTACTTAAATGCTGGAAGAGCAAAAGATTGGTGATACTGATGCTAGCTTTTAGGTTTGTCACCAAAGCTACAGTCCAGAGAATCAGAAGGTTGCTGTTGCCACTCAGGTTAGGAAACTGCAGGAAAGAAGAACCAGAGAATGAAGGCAAGTGATTGAGAATGAAACGCCCAGAGGCAGATGCAAAAACCTCATACCCTGCAAAGCCTCTGTATCTGCCCACCACTGCTAGAGAAAAATATGGCTTTTGTCTCTCTGCAGTCTTCACCAGCTTAAAGTAAATCACAGCCAGAATTCCAGAGGGAAAGGGATATGGGAAATATAGTTCCTGAGGTTCTAAGTATCTTCTATATATTTTATTCAATGAAAACGTTTTTGCCGTTCTGTTTCTCGATCTTAAAGCTTTTCTCCAAGTTGTGTATTCAAAACTACCATAGTGATTGGTATAAAAGATAAAACTTTTTTCACATATATGAATATATACTGTATGATCAGGAGTTCACAAATAATATTATGGGATAGTATTCCTTATATTTTTCCCAAAATTTGAAACCTTAAAAGGTATGAATCAACAAAGCCTCTTACTGGAGAAAGAGGTATGACTGTACCTGCCACCACGTGAGCAACCATTAAAAATATACAGTTTCTTATTTACATGAAAAAGTGATCTGATACCCAGAGTTATGGTCTCTGCACATTTTTGATCAGATATCCATCAATAAAAACTTCTGGGCATAAATTTCCAATATATGTGTATTTATTTTTATTATATGCAATAACATGATTTCCAATATATGTGTATTTATTTTTATTATATGCTACTATAGTATTATGGATACTATAAAGCATAAAAATTTAGATAGGATATAAAAAGAGATAAAAATGAAAAAACTTTGCTTCATAAAAATACTACAAAAATATTATTCAATACTGAATATGACTCTTTTTTTTATTTTGTGTAGTTTTTCTATTGAGATAAACAACACATAACATGAAATTCACCACATACAAGTGTATAATTCAGTGGTTTTTAGTAATATTCACGATGTTGCACAACCATCGCCACCATCTAATTCCAGAACATCCCCATCACCCCAACAATAAATGCCACACCTGTTAGAAGTCATTCAGTTCTTCCCTCTCCCATCCCTCAGCAATCAACCTTTTTCTGTCTCTAGAGATTTGCCTATTCTAAACATTTAACATAAATAGAATCGCACAACATGGATCATTATTTTTAACATTTTAGTAGTTTATAAAACAATAATTTGAAATTTTGTTTCTAAGTCAGTTTTTTTATCCATGGATTTATTTTTTATCATATCTAAAAAAGACTTACACAGATCCATAGACCTGAGTAGAAGTGTATCATTTTTTCAGTCCCACCCATTAATTATTTTGTTGAAATTTTGCTAGAAAATTACCCATTTTCTCTAGGTATTCTTATGAATAAATCAGAAGATATTAGGTTTATATTTTTAACAATCAGCTCCAAATTATCTGCAGCTATTTTTAAAAGTTTTAAACATATTTGAAGTTTCTGGTTCCAGGTTTTTAAGTATGAAAATATAAGAGTTTTTATAGTAACACACGCATGCAGTTTTCAGTGACAAAATCACGATGTTTACATTGCCAAATATTTCAAAATTTCCTTCTCTACAACATGTGTTTATTGCCAAAAGTAGCTGCTTTGTCACTCATTCTCATAACATTAAGTCTTCTTTGAAGGAGATTAACAGGTTTTTTTGTTTTTTGTTTTTTTAATATCTTGACATGCAGCATCCTGTGGAGACAATCTTTTTAAACCAGTTATCCATTTATGAGGGTTACGTTAAAACCGGAAAACTTATAAATCCACTTAAACTAGCACATGCAAACTGCAAGAAAATTGTAATATTCTGAAAGTAAATATATCCCACTCTAAGATTTGCAAGTTCCGTTCTTTCCTAAGGTTACTCCTGAACCATGTGGGACAAGTGACAATGGAACCCAAGGACCTAGTAAGGCCAAAGTACCATGGCATACCTAGTATTAGTATAGTTTAATATCCTTTTGTGTTTATAATTTTTAAAATACAAATGCAATTTTAGACATTTTCCCCCACATACCAATGGATTATCTTGCATATCTCACTGCAGAGACTACTAATCTTAAAAAAAAAGGTAAAAGTTCTTTTTAAAAAAAAAAATCTGAATTTAGCAATGACTGAATATGTAAGGCACTCAGGAAATATTTGTGGAAGGAAAGGAAGCAAAGAAGGAAGGAAATTAAGGAGGATTTATTGTGGATAAAGCATTTTTAAAGTTGATATATTCTAAGGAACAAAGTCTTCATTATCAAAAGTCGCACTTATGAACAGAGGTTTTTAAAAAACACAAATAAAATGTTACTATTATTTAAAAATCTATGAATTAGAGTAGATTAAGATATTAGGAGGTGACACCTAAGAGAAGGGTCACCTTGACCCCTCTAGGGTCAAGGCCAACACTTAACCTTTAGTTCTAAAACCAGATATCCGAACATAATCAAAGGAATTTACATTGGAACCAAGGGCTCCTGACAGAATAAGGATCTGGGCAACTATCCACATTGTTTAAATGCAAGAGGACATAAGCACAGAAGGCCTTTCAATTTCGGGCCAGCCTGTGGCTCACTCGGTAGAGTGCAGTGCTGATAACACCAAGGCCACAGGTTCGGATCCC